CTGACTCAGAGAACTCTCTATGATGAGCAAACAAGTGTACCCTCCTCTGAAATCTTATCACAAATTTGGGTATATTAATTATAAGGCAAATGAGGGGCAGAAAGCATACTTATAATAAAATGGGTTAAATAAATCTGATAGAATTTACCCAAGATATTTGCTGCCACCTTTTTAATTCTACTTCAACATTAAACTTCTCAGGGTCAATCTTTTCTCCTCTGAAAACAGATCACTGTGCTCTCCAGCATTCTTTATCTTGACATTGGTATATATGCCAATGTGTTTCTATTAAGGATCATTGCAAAAATGACTTTGCTGTTGGAAAATTCAACTGAAAATTTTCCTAATCCTATATTTCTAATGCTGATTTATCACTCAACATGAAGTCCCCAGATGAAAGAATATACTTAAAGCTAAAATAGTCTTAATCAATGCTAACTAGCAGAACTAGGGTCCCATATTCATTCAGTAGAACCACGATTGTAGTTTTTAGATATTCAGGTTTTGTTGAGCATACATCTCAATCTCTTTTCAGGATGTCAGGATTCATGTGCTTCCTTGAAGGTAATTCATCTTCTGTTTATTTTAACTTATTAAGTGCATGCTGGATGGGATGAAATTTAAAATGTTTATATAATATCTTCTCTCCAAGAACATCAAGCCTATGAAAGAGGATGTGCTTCACCAAAGACCAAAATTGAAGATAGTAACATGCAAAGACAAAACAGGTAACTTTTGTGGTACGACCTCTCTGGAAAACATATATGCTCACTAGCATTCTGTATCTTTTCATTGGTACATATACCCTTTGATTATGTATTTATGGTCATGGAAATATAACCTCAAAATTGGAACATTAATTGCAAGTTTTACAAAAGCTATATTTCCAATTTTGATTTAGCATATTTTAGACATGTGGCTGTATTAAAAAAAAGTCCCAAACAAGCAGACACACCAAAGTTAAAATCATGTTTATGATACATAACCATTGGGACTCAGGTTCATATTCATTGTGTAAGATTATGAGGGTAGTTCTCTTTATATTCAGGGGTTTTTGAGAATATATTTTCTTTTTTTTTCAGTATCTCAGAACACACATGCTTCTGGCAAGGTAATTGATCTTCTATGATTATTTCATTGTGTTAACTGGGTACTGGATTAAATACACACTATTTATATGATGTCTTTGTCTCTAAGCACATGAAGCCTGCCATCATAATCAAAGATTCTCTT